TGCGAGGGAGAGGTATGCATGATTTCCACCCCGGCTGCTCCAGATGTCCGAGGTGAAGTGTAAGGCCACCTGCAGACCTGCCTTGAGCAGCTCTTCCCTCAAGTATTCCCTGCATGCCTCATACAGGGAGGGCACCACTAATGGTGCAAGCGCCATGAACCAACTGAACCGTGGCTGATCAACTAAGGAGAATAAATGGCCATCCACAGCAAGCATCTCCCCAATGGTCTGGGTTCTCTTACTTGCCTTTGCAACGCACCCCCATTTCTGTCCACCTTTCCCCCACTGTTCCAGGGTGGCCTGCCTCTGCTTCGGGGGGACAGGGGCTTTGGAACAAGAGGGGAACTTCTTTTTGGGTACGTTCTCAGTGGTGCCAGGCTAAGGAAGAGTGAGGGCAAGGAGGTGGTGTCTGCAGAGATGCATCAGCATCCCTGTGGTGCTCATGTGTTTTGTTCCCTTGCCCCGGCTGGTTTTGACTTGGGAGTGCAGGCAGCTAGCATATGTGGGATCATCTGCCAGCTCAAAATGATCCCAGACCACACTACCCCCTCACTTCTGGGGTGTGGGTGCCTATGTAGGTGCAGGTGCCTGTTTTCTCCTCCTCAGCAGGCAGAAGCACAGCAACAGGAGGAGCAGACTCAGCTGAGCCACTTGCCTCCACAACCTCTACCTCAAGCTCCTCCGAAGTGCCTTCTGGGGAAGGAGACCTGGCTCTAGGTGAAACTTGAGGGGTGTGGAGCGCAAACTCAGATGATTCCCCCTCCTTTCCCAGAATTTCTCTTGCTATGGCACTCAGATTTAGCTCCAGCTCTTCCTCTAGCACTGGAAGGCTCAGGCTGGGAAGTGAAATGGGGGTGGAGGAGACTGTTGTGCTGGTGCTGCTGCTTGTTGTCATGGTGGTGCGGGCATTACGGCTGGTGCTCTTGGAGGGGATGTAGACTCAGGCAGTGGCCCTCCTCCCCTCTCCTTGCTGCCTGTAGAACTGGAAGCATTATGCCTTCTAGTTGTAGGAAAGAGGCTGCATCTCAGTTCTGGCAGGGGACTTACAGCTTTCCCTCTATCCCCTCTTCCAGTCCTCCCTGAAGGCTTGCCAGCTGCCTCTCCAGCATGCTTCATGGTGTGTTCCATAGTGTGTTTAAAATCTATGGTGTGCTGGAAAATCTGTGTGTTCTTCTGTAACGTAATCTGATTGATATATATTTGTAGAAAAGATAATTGTATGTATGTGTATTTATGTAATGTATATATGTATTTGTGCAATAAATAAAATACATCTATATATGTAGTATGCATTCCTGAATACATTCTATATTATAATATGCAATATATGCTGTGCTTCCCTGAACAGTGAATGGAATGCACAGTGTGAGAAAAAGCACAGATTTCTTTTCTAGGGGGAAAGAATCAAAATAGACTAACAAAAACAAAAAGAGGATATTTGAGGAGAAATACATTGAAAGAAATTAATTAATATAATAATAAAATAAAAGGTTATAGAAAACAAAAGGTATTGAATCCTACTCGCTAGGAACAGGCTAGCAAGTAGGAAATGAATGATAGCCTTTGTATGACACTGCTGAGCTGCTGGCAGACAGCTCAGTAACTGACCCTGAGGCAGAAAGCAGCTCGGTTCAAACAATGCTTTTTATGCTGTTTTTCCATCCCTCCCCCAGAGCATTGGGATTGGAAGGGACCTCAGGGAAGGATCAGTCACTGGCCAGCTACACAGTCAATATCAGAGCAGTCCTCCCCTCCTCTTCCCCCTCCCTCTCCTTACTTTCTGTTTCTGTGCCAGCAAGCCCAGCTTCAAAACTCAAAACATTTCAACACTTTTGAAACATTTTGACTGCCCTCATTTCATTTCAAGGCTGTTTCAAAGCCTTTAATTTGTTTCGATTTTGCTGTTTCGAGCTTGAAATGAGTTGAAACAGCATTGAAACAAAACAGCCAGTGAAATTTCGCACAGCCCTGTGCGGGCCGGCTCCCGATCTCGGGGGCGAGCCGGGCCCGTCTTTGTGCTCACAGGCTGTGGCCAGCCGCCCAGGGCCG